TACCACCGCCATTCCACCACCGCCATTCCACCACCGCCATATGGCCGCACATCGAATCTTGCCCGCCGGCTTGGCTCATCCGGTCCTCTCCCTGCTCGCTCGGTGCGGTTCCGCCGGTCCGCCCCCAGGTACTTTGCGGCGGCGGTGGGGGACGATGCACGCGTGCTGCGGGACCTGGTGCGCGGGGGCGAGTGGGCCAACGCGCTGGAGGTGCTGGCGCGCGCCAATTCCGGGGAGCTCTACTACCAGTTCTCCCCCACCCTCATGGCCCACGTGCCGCGCCCCACCGTCGACGCCTGGATCAGCTCCCGCACGCCCCTCCAGCCCCGCAAGCTCCTCCCCGCCCTCATGCGCTACCAGCCCTCTCCCGCCCAGGCACGCACCCCCACCCCCACCACATTGCCCCCCACATTCCCCACATTCCCCACTTCTTGCGAGCAGACTGTTCTCCCTCTTACGTGCGTGCATGCGTATCTGCGTGTGAACGGTGCGATGCGGCGGCGGCGGCGGCGGCGGCGGCGGGTGCAGGGTTCCAACGAGTCCATCCGGTACCTGGAGCACTGCATCCAGAAGGGCAACAACCAGGACCCGGCTATCCACAACTACCTCCTCTCCCTGTACGCCCAGCAGGTACCCCTTCAACAGCGCTGTGCTCCAGGCCGTGGCTGCTGCTGGTCGTGGTGGTGGTGGTGGCTGGTGGTGGCTGGTGGCGGCTGGTGGCGGCTGGTGGTGGGGCAATCAATTTGTGGAGACTGGTGGTGGCTGGTGGCTGGTGACGCCTGGTGGCTGGTTGGCAAATCGATTGATTGCAATCCGCGTCTGGAGTGATAAAATAATGGTGTCTCTTTTATCATGACAACGGCATCATCAGCATCCCCATAATCGTAATCATCAATCATCAATCATCAACAATCATTATTGACGACGACGACGACAGGGGAGCGAGGAGGCGCTGCTGGGGTTCCTGCAGCGGGAGGAGGCGGTGTTCGATCTGCGGTACGCGCTGCGGCTGGCGCTGCGGCACGAGAAGAGGCGCGCGTGCGTGGACATCTACTCGGCGATGGGGCTGCACGAGGAGGCGGTGGACCTGGCCATCCGGCTGGACGTGAACCTGGCCAAGGCGCACGCGAACCGGCCGCAGGACGACGAGGTGCGCAAGAAGCTGTGGCTGCGGATCGCGCGGCACGTGGTGGAGGAGGACCAGGACATCAAGAAGGCCATGGCCTTCCTCAAGGACTGCGAGCTGCTCAAGATCGAGGACATCCTGCCCTTCTTCCCGGACTTTGTGCTGATCGACGACTTCAAGGAGGAGATCTGCGGTTCGCTCGAGGAGTACAACCGGCACATCGAGGACCTCAAGCACGAGATGGACGACGCCACCCACAGTGCCGACCTCATCCGCCTCGACATCAAGCAGCTGCGCTCCAAGTGCGGCTTCGTCGCCGGCAACCAGAAGTGCGACCTGTGCGCCTACCCGGTGCTCTCCCGCCAGTTCTACCTCTTCCCGTGCCAGCACACCTTCCACGCCGACTGCCTGGCCCGCGAGATGACCCGCCACCTCACCGACGCCCAGCGCCTCCGCCTCCGCGAACTACAGCTCCTCGTCGCCGAACACTCACGCGCCCCCGCGCCGCGCCCCAAGTCCTCCGTCCCCGCCCCCGCCGGCGACGCCCCCGCCACCGCCACCGCAGCCAAGGCCGACATCGACCTCCTCGCCCCCATCCAGACCGAACAGCTCAAGGTTCACGCCTCTTTAACACCACCACCCCCTCCCACCCCGCTCACCCCGATCCGGCGGGCTGATGCCTCTTCTTCCGCTGCTGCTGCTGCTGGGTGGTGGTGGTGGTGGTGGCTGGTGGTTGCTGTGGTCGTGGTGTTGATCAGAACGAGCTGGACGACCTCGTGGCGTCGCAGTGCATCACCTGCGGCAAGCTGACCATCGACTCGATCACGCGGCCCTTCATCGACGTGCGCGACCAGGACCTGGTGAAGAGCTGGTTCATCTGATGCGAGGGAGTGGTGAGTAAACTGCAGCAGAGTGGCTTTTTATTTATTTATTTATTTATTTATTTTCTTTTGCTTGAATTACAAATGTGCTTGAGCCTGCCTCTCAGGCGAGAAGAGACGACGATGACGGGCTAGGGTCATCCTCGGACCTTCCTCCCCCTGCAGGGGTGGGCGTCGGGTGGTGGGGAGAGGCTTCGAAGCTGCTGTGGGGGGGAGGTGCCGCCACCACTGCGGTGGCACCGCCGCCGCTGCTGCTGCCACCCTCTCCTCCGAGGGGCTGGAGGGAGGCGACGAGCTGGTCGCAGATGGCGAGCAGCTCCTGGTTCTCCCGCTCCTTGGAGGCGATGGCCTGGGTGAGCCCGGGCAGCTTAGCTTCGGCGATGAGGGCGCGCGCCTGCCAGAACGCAGCGAGCTTGCTCTGTTCCTCGAGAGCGGCGTCCAACGCCTGTCGGGACGACTCAGCCTGCAGGCTCGCCTCGGAGACCTTCTGTACTTCCGACGCCGCGATGGCGAGCTTCTCCTCGGCGTGCGCGCGCAGGGCCTCGAAGCGGGCCTCGGCCTCATCGCGAGCTTCCTCGGCTTTGTGCAGAGCCTCCACCAGCGTGCCTTCGTTCTTTCGCAAGCTTTCGTTGAGGTTCTTGGCTTCGTCGTACCGCCGCTTGATGTCCGCAAACGAATCGGTGATGCCCTCCAGCTCCGCCTTCAACTCGCCCAGCTGAGTAACCGCGCGACCGGCCATACCACCAGCCACCACCGCCAGCCGCCGCCGCCACCACACAACACACACACACACACAGCGGAATGAGCTGAGGCGAAGAATGCAGAGACGAGAAGGGGCGCCCTACCTCCATCTCGCCTTGGAGGCGGAGTCGCTGCTCGTGCTCAAACTGCTCGTGCTGGCGCAGCACGAGCTCGAGATCCCTTTCGTATTCGCGCAAGAGCGCTTGCACTGACTCCAGCTTCGTGTGCTCCTCACGGTAGCGTAGTTCCCATTCCCTGGCCTGCTGTGCTTGGAGGAGGAGGGGAGCTGCTGCTTCGCCGCCCCGGCTCTCCGTGCCCTCCCGAGGAGATGGTGGCGCCACCATGCTGGCCTGGCGATTCTCTTCGGGCGACGGCGCTGCAGGCAGAGTGTCCTCGCACATGGAGAGGTCCAGGTCGAATGCGTCATCCACCACATCTCCGAGGGTTGGCAGGGGATGCGTATCATGGACACTCGCCGCAACAAGGGCTCCGCCGTGCATGTCTGGTGTGTGTAGGGCAAACCGAGCGAAACGAGGCGTGGAATACAAGTAGTGGTACAAACAACACACGATAAGCTACACGATGCAGTGGCGAGCTGTCTGATGGTGATCATACCAAATGCGGACGCCACGTGGCCCGATGTCAAAAGCCCGCGCTCCTCCGGCTCAGAACTCGGCGGGCTAGAAACGTGGACGGCCGAGGGCACAAAGGCGCCCGCATTATCGATCGGGCGGTCGGTGTTGTGCTCGACAGCGATGGTTGCAGCGGGTGCGGGCGCCTTAGGCTCCAGAGTCGAGTCTTCCTCCGCACTACGCAGTGAATGGGTGGACAGAAAAAGAAATCGTTGAGGTGAGAGCCCGCCAGCGGGGGGGGGGAGGAAGGGGGTCACCTTAAGAGCTGCTTGGGGTGCGTCTCGATGGGAGTAGGATGAAGAGGCTGGGTCCGGAAGGAGCTGCTCTCTTTGTCGCTTCCAGTGCCGCTGCTGCTGACACCATCGTCCGAGAGGGCGTGCGTGGAGGGGAGGTCCACCGTGCTAGTAGGAGTAGGAGTAGGAGTAGGAGTAAGAGGAGTACTCGATGCCGAGGGCTGGGCCGCAGCGACGCGAGCGGCTTCGTCCTGCTTTTTCTGAGCACGGGCAGCGAGGAGGCGCCGGCTGTGTGCGCCGGGAACGAACCCGGGCCGTGCGGTGGGTTTGGAAGGCGCGCCAAAGTCGAATACGAGAAGTGAGGCGTCCGATGCCTCGTTCGCTGGGTCCTCCTGTTCGCCCGCTGGCTGCTGCCCGGGAGCATTTGCGGCGGTGCTATGTGGTGGATGAGTCTCCTTCACCAAGTCCGTTGCTCCCTGTAGCTCGTCTTCACCATTCTCCCGGCGAGGTGTCCGCGCAGAGGATGAAGGCGACGGGTTCGGTTCCGAAGTAGGCTCCACACCCATCCTTTTCTTCCACTCTGCGAGCCGGGCAGAAATCATTCGCGCTTTGGAAGAAGAAGAAGCTTGCGAAGGCGAATGTTGCTGCAGATTGGGCTCAGCATTCTCTTTGCCCTCGTTTAACTGGAGATACATGAATATCAAAATTAGTGGCTTGCCCCGGCAAGGTGCAACAAGTGGAAGAGTGCATACCGCCGAGTTTTGGGCAAGACTTGTGGCCATGGGTGAAGAAGATGTGGTGCTGTTGCCGAACACGGCTCCTGCGGTTGGATGTTGGTGATCTTCTTGCTTTTTTGGCGCCTTTTCTTTCGCGCCAAAACCATTAAATTCCTAACGTTCAAGCCGAAAAAAATCCTTCTCCTTCTCGCAAGAAAATGAAGAAAAGGCGTTTCCGCTACACATTTTCGCCCCAGTTCTGCGGCTTCTTCTTCGACTTGGGCCACATCGTCCGCTCATACTCCAAACGCGCGCGCTGCGTAGAGACCACATAGATACAACACACACACACACACAAAGAGGCGGTGCTGTGGTCAGTGATTTTTTTAAAAAAATAAAAACCAATTCGTAAGATGATTTGAGAGATGGCGTACGCGGCCTTCCTCGATGAGGTCCTTTTCGGCAATTACGAGTTTCCAAAGGGGAGACTTGGGCGAGAGGCGGAAGTAGGGGCTGACGTGCCCCTTGTAGGCAAAGCGCTTCCTCTTGTTGCCACGCTTTTGTCCGAACGCCATGAGGGGCGTAATGCCTGGTTTAAGAATCCGAACGTAGGCCAGTTGGCCTGGTTGGATCTCGCGCAGCACAAACTCTTCTCCTGCCAGCCACTTGAGGTGGCCTACTTCCTCGCCTTCCTCCACCACCGGACCTGCTCCGGTCTCGCGCTGCCGCCTCGCTGCGACACCGTGGCCATTTGTCTCCTCCGATGCATCATCGTGCGCGCCTACGGCGGCCCTTGCCAACCTCAACTCTTCCTCGTTGCTGGCGAGCCCCTCTACGGAGAGGGCGGCAGCTGCTTCGCGGAGCGCCTCCTCATCGTACTCGCGTCGCCGAGCCAGGAGAGGAGTGCTTGCATGCACGTGGAGCCCTCTCGATGCAGCAGCCCAGGTCGGTGACATACCCCCTCGCACATTACGCCGCAGCATCTGCATCATCATTTTTGATTTTAAAAAATCACGATCGCAGTAAAATGGCTTTTTCTCCGCCATTTGTTTTCTCGTCGACACTAATGCCAGCATGCACGTCTGCTGATGGAGGGAATCAGATGGCGGAGAATGGTGTGTGCATGGGTGGACTGCCCCGAGAGGGCGGGGATGACAACCCCTCTACGAGAGACACCTTCCCTGTCCCTGCAGGCTGCGCAAGGCGAGGCTGGCGTGGGCTACTTCCTCGCATGGTTTGATAATCACCCCCCCCCTTTCCTCCCTCCTCACCTCACGCCCGTACATGGGCGTAATCCTACTCACCCATCCCACACGCACTGCATCAATAGTGGGGTCTGTGGCGGTTGGGTCCTACCGTGTGAGAGCTGCGGTGCGCTGGTACGCGCCCCGCCGCCCCAGAAGGAAGGCGAAGAGGGCAGCAACGACGACGCATGCAACGAACGCGGCGAGGAGGGTTGGGCGTGGTGCGGCAAGTGCGGGTATCCCAATATCCTCGCACCGACCGCCCGTGCCCGTCACGGGCTCGACCCTGTGCCTCTGTGGCCCATCACTCCCACGCGCACCGTACATCCCCATCTCTCTCTCTCTCTCCAGCACAGCACGCGCCATACCACTTGGCCACGAGGGCCTCACATGTTCTCTTTTTGACGCGAAATCACGCACGCGGCATACAGAGGGCGGCGCAGCGGGCCATCGGAGAGGGGGCTCACGCGCGTACCCTGGTGGCGCTTCTCGAGGTACGGGCCGGCGTCAGGCGCTCCCTTGCTCTCAAGCGAAAGTCCTCCCCATCCACAACCGCCGTTGCAGGGGGCTACCCGAAACGGCACTGCATCGCCACCGATCGCCACCATCCTCGTACTCCACCACCACCACCACCACCACCGGAGTTGCCACTCGGACCCCGTGCGCTTCACCACCCACCGAACAGCACTCTCGGAGGAGATCAGAAACCGGCGGAGGAAGCTGAGGAAGACGAGAAGCAGCAGGAGCAGGAGCAGGAGGAGGGTCAGACTGACGCGGAGGCGCGAGCCTATGGGCGGCTGTGGGCATACGCGGACCCCGCCATGCGCCTCCGCGACAACGACGTCCTTCGCGCCTATTCACCGCTCCATCGCCTTTCTCGCTTCACCGCGACCCACCTTCAGGTTGGCTCTCCCTCCATCCCTGGAGCCCCCCCCCCCTCCATGGCTCATGAGCGGGTGCATGTAATGTATGTATGTGCGCACAGTTGCTTGAAACCCTATACGCTGACGACCTTCGCCTTGAGACTGGGCACGCACGATCACTTACGGTACTCTGCCTCTGAGCATTCGAGTTACTTTTTAATAGATAGATAGATAGATTGCTAGATAGATCTCTGACGCACATGGTCCGCCGCACAAGGCGCTGTTTGCAGGCTTGGCAGGCTTTGTAGGGCAGAACCTGGGTCACTTGCATGATGCTCGTGGCCACCGCATTTCAGCGAGAGCCCGTGCTTTCCTCCGCGGCTTGGCGCCATCCCAGTACACCCACCCGGCCGCTAAACATGCTCATTCTGGGTGCGTGCCTGCTAAACAACCGCTTGTCATGTGTGCCTGCGAAGGACTGAGCAGGTGGGGTTGTGGACACTGGGCCAGCTGGCAGTTGAACCAGAGGGCAGACCGCAGCACCTGGTGGCAGGTGAATGCCACATTGCATCAGCACTTGTTCACGCACAAGTGTGCCATTATCGGTACTGCCCAGTCCCACTTCATGCGCGGTCATCACTTTTTAGTTAACCCGCGCAACACCAACAGAAGCCAAGCCATCAGCAGAGAGGAGATGGTGCAGGTGTTGCTGGCGCACATCAATGTGGAGGTGGGGCGTATCTCAATGGCTGCAGGTGCCACAGACCACGACAAGGTTGTGCATGCCCAAAGTTGCATACCCATCTGGTTGCGAGCCCACCAATCTCTCTCCTCTGCTCTGGAATGCCCTCAGGGAGTGATTTATTTTGGGCAAAAGAAATAAGGGCCGCAACCGCCACCGTTAACGTCCCGGAGTTTTGACTTAAAATTTTTTCGAAGCGGGAGAGTGCGGAGTTTTGACTCAGAACTTTTTGCTCTGCTGACACCACTCAAGCGTGAAAAGTGCACTTTTCTCGCTTGCACGGTAAGCTCCTGGCCTCGCGTTTCGTTCAAAATGCGCCGCATAGCATGGGCTTCAAGATGTGATAGGACTCAGCCCTCCAGGATGCCTCATTGGGCCGCTGGAACATCCCCGTTTCGCTGCCATTGTCCCATTGTTCCAACGCCAAGCTAACAAGATCACTCGGTTTCTCGCTTGCCTCGATAGCTTGCTGCTTGCAAGATGATATCCAGACCAATTAGACCACGGGCTACAAGATGACGCACGTCTCAGGGCTCTGCGGCACGCTGTTCGCCTGACCTCGAATCGTGTAAAATCACTTCTGAAAACAAAGCGGATTAGTTTTCTCGCTTGCATGGATAGCTAGAGGCCTGAAAATAGATATCCATATCAATTAGACCATGGGCTACAAGATGGCGCCTGACTCAGGGCTCTACAGCGCGCTCTTCGCATAACTACAAAGTGCTTAGCGGTCAAGGTGTTGACCACGCGTGGGTCGCGCGTCAGTCGCGCGTATGCTACGGGTAGGCGTGGGCTACGCAGGGACGACAAGCGAAGGACAACACTATAATCGCGATTCTACGAGTTCTCCAGGGGATGGCTTGTTTTCGCGGACATCGCGATCTCCCGCGGACATCGCGACCTCCCGCGGATAAGTAGGCAGTCCGCGGGAGATCGCGATTATCCCGGCTGTCCGGGATGTCCGCGGAGGTCGCGATTATCCGCGGACATCGCAATCATCCGCGGACATCGCGACCGGCGACTCATCCCCCCAGCTTCTATAGGGCAATTTTCTTCGTGGCCGTGCAGTGCAAAAAACAGTTTGAAATGGCTGAAATACGAGTTGTCGCCGATCTTGAATAAACCTAGCTGTAACATACGCGCGAGCCACGCGCCGAGAACGATCGAACAATCATTTTTCGGCTCTGGAGCAGACCTCTAACGATTTGGTGAAAGATCGGATTTTATTGTGGGCAAAGAAAGAGGCAAGGGGAGCGCCCAGCTGCTGAGACTGTCAGGTCAGTGTCGGATATAACAGGAGGCGACGAGCAACGCGAGAAGATGTAGTGTATTAAAGAGGATTAATAAGAACAAAGGAAGCGTAGGTCCTTGCAGGTATTCCACCGATGATTGGAAAATACGGAAATAGTTGAGAGGTCTAAACTCCGATAGTCAGAACAATTTTCCTTCGTTTGACCTCAGCTGGTCTGATCGTCATCTTAATCGTGTGCTATGCCTACTCGTCATCATCTCCTACCTACGAGGCAACGGTTTTTACTCGTTTCACGCGTTCTCTACTCGTTTCACACATTCTCCACTCGTTTCACGAGTGGCCCACACGTTCAACGAGTGGGCAGGTCGTTAAACGAGTTTAATCAGTGTTTTACTAGTTAAACTAGTTAAACGCGTTTAACGAGTGTTACGCGTTTTCGTTGCATCCCCGTAGGCTGGCAGGTGTCAAGGGAAGCGAGAAAACTGATGCGCTTGGTTTTCGGAAGGGAATTCTAGGTTGTATGACATAATAATTCGCAAAGTGATTGGGAACGTCCAGCTCGTACGGCCCAATGAGGCATCCTAGAGGGCTGAATCCTATCACATGTTGAAGCCCGTTCTCTGCGGCGCATTTTGACGCTATTGCGAGCTCATGAGCTTACTGTGCAAGCGAGAAAGCCTGTCATCTTGCTCGAGTGGTGACGGCCGCAAAAAAATTTAAGTCCAAACTCCGCCCATTAGCGCTCCTACAAAAATTCTGCCCGGCTGCGCCTTTGCTCACAGCGGCGGCAACTACGGTACGCGCGAGCGTGTGCGGTGAGTGCGTGTGTCATGCGCGGTGCCTCAGCCCAAAAAAACCTAGTCAAACTCCGCGACCAGTTTTGGCGCCAAATGTCAAACTCCGTCGCTTTGCTGCGGGTGGGTGTATTCGTTTTGTTTGCTGTACAGAGAGAATACCAGCCTGGGTCTCAGTGATTGCTGGTAAGATGCGGGTTGGCGAGCAGCACCACGGCGGGCTGGTTGCTGGCAAAGCGTCTCCTGGCGAACGGGAACGGGGTGTTCATCTTGGCGGTTGGCGTCGTGTCCTTGGTATTAACGCGAAGGCGCGTCTCCGCAGGTGTGGCGGCAGTCTGACCAGCTGGAGCGGTGATGGTGGCGGCACCCTCGCCCTCAGGGTGGGCATCAGTCCTGACCTCGTTACTTCGTAGGTGGCGGTCCCTGCCGAACGGGAACGGGGTGTTCATCTTGGCCATTGGCGTTGTAGATTTGTTGTTCAGTCGTAGGCTCCGCCGAACGGGCGTGAACGTGAGTCCGCCGTTCTTCTGCTCCTCTTGACACGGGCGGCTAGATGACTCGGCCTGCTCGCCCGATACACTTTCGGCCGCTCCGTGAAAGGGGGTCAACGGGTTGATGCCCGGAGTGCTGACGGGGGTGCCCACAATCGACCGGCTCGGCGTGCCGATCGGAGAAAGTGCGACGGTCACATCCATTAGCTCGGCGTTACGCATCGAGCTCGTACGTCTGCATTTTGAGGGAGATGAGAAATGCAAATTGTTTTTGAGAGTTGTACTGGTTGAAAGAGAGAAACTGAGAGAACAGGGCGTTACGCAGAGCAATAAAAGGAACGGGTTAATTCATACCTGACTGGGGCGTAGGTGTCGAAGCGGCCGTATCCGGGTGTTGTTGGTTGGATCTCCGATGCCCGCACAAAAGCCCTGCGGAAAAGCAAACCTTAGGGTTAGCCACAACAAGTAAAGGACTAGTATTGCATCGTGGCCAAGTAACTGTTTGCGCGGTGGGTGGCGTACCTCGTATTTCTGGGCTTGACGACGAACAGGGGGGTCAGGGACACTTGGCCTTCGCTTGGCAGCTGCGGGGCGCGGTCGTGTTTGGATTCCTCCTCCCCCTCCTCCTCCCCCTCACCATTGAGAGCGGACTCGCTCTCGCTGGAGAGGGAGACGTCAGCAGACGACAGGCTGAGAGTGGCGAAGTCGCTCAGTAGTAGATCCGTGCCCGCATCGTCGTCGTCGTGATGCTGATGGGCGCTCTCTCGGTGGCCTCGACTGCTCGCGGTACCGCAGGTCCTCTCGCTGCTGGAGTCGACGTCCTCCACAGGCGCGGTGGTGGCAGTAGAAATGCCCGCGCGCTGGGGGGAGGCCTGGCGAAGAGATTGCGGAGTGGCGAAGCGCAGCTCGGATCGGTTATGCACAGCGAGCCGGATGAGATGATCTCCTCTGCTGGCCGCCAGCCGGCGCTCTGTGTGGTGGGGGAAGCGCGATACGCTCGCCGCCACGGCTCGCTGAGAAGAGGACACCGTAGGCGATGAGAACGTCTTCGCGGCCGCATTGGGCAAAGACGGCCGCCTCTTGGCCGTCTGTCGCGTGGCTGTCGAGGGCGAGAGCGGCTGCTGCAGAACCCTCTGGGGGTTGGTCAAGTGTGGAGAGAGGGCACGCCCGCTTGACGATGGTGGCGCCACCGCCCTGCAGTGAGCTGAGTCGAACAACCAATGAATGAGTGAATTCAGCGGAAGGACTCGACGAGGGAAGATCGCTTCAGATGTGGTCGTGGTGGGTGGGTGGTGTCTATCAGACGCGAGGCGTGTGCGTACCATCCATGGTGATGGGGGTGGCTGCTGGCAGTTCTTTCTCCCACTCAATGCCACGCGCGCTGGAAGAACAGGCACGACTCACGCACGGGCCAGACTCGACGTCGAGGGCGACGTGGTCGTCATCAGGCAACGCCTCGCCGAGCGCGAGTCGTGTAGTCAGCGTCAGCTTGGGTGCGCTAGGAGACTGAAGGAGCTGCTTCTTGTTGCGGCCGGACGAAGTGAGTTGGTGGAAGGACTCGGAGAGCTCCGGCGGTGAAGGGGAGGCTGGGACAACGCTCGTCGAGAGCCGGGGCGTAGAGGCAGCAGCAGCAAGGTCGCGGCCAGGAGGAGGAGGAGGAGGAGGGGATTGATGATTATCTCGTCGCGACGGCGAAGCGGACTCGGATGGTCCAAACGCAGGTAGAGGAAGACCCTCCTCGGGCAGCTGGTCCGCAGCTGGTCTGTCGGCGTCCGGGGTCGGGGACAAGTTGAGCGCAGCCCGGGTTGTTGTCGCGGGAGGCTCAGCTGAGCTGTAGGGGCTCATCAGGACGATGGAGCGCGGGATGGACCGCGACAGGCCTGGCGACTTGTTCGGAAGGTGTGCGGAGCGCGGCGAAGATCTAATGGTCTCCACCACCTGCCGGAGCCTGTGGTAAGGGGACAGCCCGCTGCTGCAGGTGGTGGCAGCTGTGGAAGGCCTCGGCTCGTGCTGCTGCTGGGATCGGTCGAGCGGCCGCGCCTTCTGCAGGCATTCGTAGAGGAACTCTTCGCTCTCCGGAGCCAGTTCGTTGAAGAAGAAAGGGGACGGCGAGACAGAGGAAGAGCTGGGAAGCTGCTGCGTGGGAGTGCGGGGCGTCTGTGGGAGGAGCATTACGGCTTGATCCTCCTCGTGCGCGGGCCGCATAGCGTTCGTTGAATTGTCGTTTACGCGGATTAAGAAGCCGGCAAGAGCGTTGCCTAGGTGGAACGAGTCCTCCACCTGGCTCACCGCGTGGAAGTGGCAACCAAGTAAGTTTACTCCGCGCCAAGACTGATAGACTGAGGACATTGCGAGGGAGGGGGGGGGAGAGCCCACCTTGTTGGCGCAAGCCAGCGAAGCAGTATCGAGCAAACGAATCACCTCTGTAACGGGGGAGAGGATTCAAGGGCGGTGGTTTGAGTGGTGGTGAGTACGCGCGGAGATTGCGTTTGAAAAGGCAGCATGGCGTGCGTACCGGCAAAGTTCTGACACTCCTCCTCGAAGCGAGCGAGAGCCACCCAATACTCGCTGGTGCTACGGAATCGACTAAACCGCTCCTGCCCTTGCAGAGTCTTGAAGATCGCCCTCGCCTCCTCTTGTTTGCCCAGCTGGGAGACAAAGGTACATCGAGACTTGGTCGGAGAGAGTCGTTTTGTGCCGATAAGGCGGGTAGTACCTGAGAGTATCGCATCGCTTTCTCTATCTTGCTGCGAAAGCGCTGGAGCTCGAGATCCGTAGCTGGTCCACTTGAGTTGGTCGACCTGTGGGCCTTGCTCGGAGGCTGAGCGGTTCTGCTGCTCGCCTGCTTCTTCGGCGGCCCGGCGACTCTGTAAAGAGAGTAGCAACATGTTGGTGGGGTAGAGCACAAGGTGGAGCGATCTAGGACTTGACAGAGTTTGGAGAGAGCATACCTTGCGGCGTGGTCCTTGATGCGTTGCTGGCCCTCACGATACTGCTTGAGCCGTTCTACGCGGGTCACGGCTGCGGTGTCCGAGGCCACGTGCCCGTGCGGCGCAGTGATCGTCGTTTTCTTATGATTTATGAGGGCTGCGGCTGAGGCCGTCTTCTCTGGATCGCCTTCTGCCACCTTGGCCGTCTTGGGAATCTCTTGCATCGGTTTTCGAGCGGCTGTCCTCGCATGTTCTTGGTGCTGCACCGCGGGTTTCGGTGCCGATCTGGCGCGGGTGGGAGGCTTCGATTGATCGGCAGCTCGTAAGAGACTTCGCGCATCGGGAATGTGCGCTCTCCTCGCGCTTGTCGGGTCGTTGGATTTTCGTTGCTGCTTCCACAGTTCTAGCTGCTCCCTTCTTGAGAGCTCCTTTTTGTTGCTCGTCGACTGGGCGTTCTCCTTGCCTGCGATATCGAGGCCATCTCCCCGCGTGGCCTGTTGCATCCTTGGTCTCTGATAGTAAACCCGTCCACAACACCGCCAAAAACGAGAACAAATTTTGGCGCCAAGCACACTTTTCGCGCCAAAAAATTTTGGCGGTTAGCAGCGGAATTTTAAGCACGCCACGCGGGCAGCGTTGCGCGTACCTGGCCCTCTACGAGGCGGCGTGGTCGAGGAGCGCGAGGAGATAGTGGCGACGGCGTGCCACCTCCGCAGGAGAGCGGACGGCGAGTTCGCGAGGGACACTGTGGCCGCTTTGTTGGTGGTGGTGCCGGTGTTGTTGTTGTTGCGGTGTGACTGGGACACCACGGGGACCCGTGGCCTCCGCTCGAATACGCTCCAGAAGCCATTTGTCCTCGTCCCGCGTCCAGGGCTGGCATTCAGAGCCCAAACCACCGCCACCCCCTCTCGATTGTCGTCAATAACGGTTCGTACCCGGGGTGAGGGGCATGAAGGCGGGCGGGCGTACGCGAACATCGGGCGAAAGCGGACCTTGAACGATAACATCAACGCTCCCCCTGGGGCTGAGGGACGAGGCACCACCACCAGCACCACCAGCACCACTACCAGCAGCAGCGTAGTGGTCGTAGGCAGAGTGAGACTCGGGATCGGAGTCAGGCCAGTCATCCTCCGAGTCCGAGCCTGAGTCCGAGAGGCATACGGTCTCGAACATCTGTACGCACCGGGACGAAGGGATTGGAGAAAATAGAAAATAGAAAATAGAAAAAATGCGGTGGCGGGTGGTGGCGACGTACGTCGGCGGGGAGCAGCGAGGCGAGACTCGTCTGGGAGGAGGGCGACGAAGACGGGAGCGCAGGGAGAGCGGGGGGAGCCTCGGCTTCGTCGTCCACTTCTTCCGAATCAGAATCGGAGAGCTCCTCTTGGTCGAAATGCTGCGGCGGCGGCTGCTCGATCGCTACGGGGCAGGGCAGCCTTGACGGTACCTCCGCTCCTGAGCCTTCCACTCGCCGGCGCTTTGCCCGCGACGATGTCGCCGCCGCCATCACCGCACCACGGGCGGGCAGCTGGCGCGAGGTCGCAGGCTGCCGATGAACCGACGGAAGAACAACGGCAACGGGTGGTGATGGTGATGGTGGTGGCGGCGGCGGTGCACCACGAGGGTCGTCGCCGCCGCACGGGGCCATGGCCGGAAGATGTCCGGCCATGGAAATGGTGGGCACCAGGCCCATGGGACAGTACACGATGTAGGTGGGTGCGCCCTGGTCCCCTCTCGAGAGAGGACCACACTGCCACGCAACACGCAAACGCGACACACGCAGTTCGTTGTTGAAGGGCACGGGGAGAGGGAGAGTGCGTGTCGACGGCGGCGGCGGCGGTGGCTGCTGCTGCTGCTGTCGCGGTGGTGGTGGTAGGGTGGGTGGGTGGGTGGTGGTGGGGGGCATGTACGGGGGGCAGGGGCACTGGTGAGGGCGAGAGCAGGGAGGAGGGATCGGGTGAGGCGTGGAGATCCGTCCAGAGCTTCTGCAGGCGCGCGGGAGCGCGGTGTGGCAGGAGGTGGCGCGAGATCTGCTCCCATTGGTAGCCGTACGCGGCAATGCCCTCCCGCACCAGCAGCTGCTCGTCACCGCTGAGCTGGGCACCTTCGACCCACTGCCAGCCCGCCCGCACCGCCTGCCCGGAGGGTGGGGAAAGCCGTGCCGCGGGGATTGGGGGGTCAGGTTTGATTGGCCACCGACAGAGGGAGATACACAGAGACAAGCGGGCTAACCGCCAATGCTCGGGGGGGGGGATCTTGAGCGGGCCGGTGGGCCGGTGGGTGGGTGGGTACCTTGACGGGGTTCCAGGTGGTGGACGCGAGGGTGAGGTGTTTGTAGCGGTTGTGGACCTGGTTGAAGGTCTTGGTGGACAGGTATTGCTCGTGCACCTGCGCGAGTCCCCGCCTCCCAAACCGCTCAAGCCCAATCGCGAGCAGCCTGAACCGCACGCACGCACGCGCACCCATTGAGCATCAGCGAACGTGAGAGAGGGAGAGGGAGGGAGTGAGGGAGTGAGGGAGTGAGGGAGTGAGGGAGAGAGGAAGCGGCCCAGCGGACATCGGGCGTGCCGCTACGGGCGGGCGGGAGGCGGGCGAGAGATTGTGAAAGTGGGGGGTTGGGGGTCGGGGGGGTTGGGGGGTTGGGGTTGTGTGTGGTGGGAGTGCGCACCTGTCCTCGGCAGGGGTGAAAAGGCGCCGGGAGGAGTGGAGCGGGAAGGCGAGGGCCAAGGCCGGGTCGAACTGCGGCGGAGTAGGCGCCAGGAGGGACTGGACTCGCGCGTGCACGAGAGACAGTCCCTCGTCCCTGCCCGCAAGAGGCGGGCCGGCGCCGCCGACACGAGGCGGAGGAGCATCATCAGCATCTCCGCCGGCAGGAGAAGGAGGAGGCGGAGTGGCAGCTGGCACGAGTTGGGCCAGCGCAGCTTCGAGCCGAGGCAACACGCGGAGGGCCGGAAGATCGAACAGGGCAGGAAGCCTCGGCTCCTCTCCTCGGTCGGCCGAGGTCTCCGTCTGCGCGCAGGCCCGCTGTCGCATAGCCATGCGCCGCGTGAGTACCCCCGCCTGCTGCACGGCGCCGCATACACACGACACACAGCACACACCCGCGCGTGAGCACGTGCAACGCCGCCGCATCTTGAAGAGGAGGGTGGGGGACATACACACACACACGGTGTGTGTCCTTCGCTTAAAGAGGGAGGGGGTGGGGCGTACGCGTGCGCGTGGCGAGAGCGGAGGGCTGGGGGGAGGGGCGGTGGTTCGCGAGGCGGCTGTCCCCTGGGGGGACCAAGACTGCGCTCGTTGACCCGACCCGCCACGCTGGTCACGCAGGCAACGGAGCTGCACCTGCACCCGCCGACCATAAATTTTTGGTGGTCGTGGTGGTGGTGGTGGTGGTGGTGGTCGTGGTGGTCGTGGTGGTCGTGGTCGTGGTGGTCGTGGTCGTCGTGGTAGTCGTGGTGGTCGTGGTGGTCGTGGTGGTCGTGGTCGTGGTGGTCGTGGTCGTGTGGTAGTCGTGGTGGTCGTGGTGGTCGTGGTGGTCGTGGTGGTCGTGGTGGTTGTGGTGGTCGTGGTGGTCGTGGTGGTTGTGGTGGTTGTGGTCGTCGTGGTCGTCGTGGTGGTCGTGGTGGTCGTGGTCGTCGTGGTGGTCGTGGTGGTCGTGGTCGTGGTCGAACAACAATGCACGCGCGTTGTTAGTCGTGGGGATGGTGGTGGCTGGTGGCGGTGTGTGTACGAGCAGGGAGATCGTGGGCTGAGCGAACGGGCGGAGGTGGGCCGGGCCGGACAGGGCGAGGGCGCACACCTGGGCCAGGAGCTGCGTGTGCTGGGCCAACTGGGTGCGGAGTTCCTCGTACTGGGCTGCGGTGAAGGGACCCACCACATCATGGTGGCCGCCGCTGCTAAGGGGAGGCCAAGCCGGGAGGATGGGAACCAGCGCCCGCCGATGATCTGCATCCTTCGACCCGTCTTCCCGCGCTTGTGCAAGGAGGGCCTCTAGCTCCTTCTCTGCTCCCGCGCCACGCCCGACCCGACACACACACACCGACCCCCCCCCGAACGGATAGAAATGAAGTCAACACCCATTGCAATGGCGTGAGCTCTCCCCCACCCCTACGGGTGTGGGTGGGTGGGTG